TTAAATAGCAACCATTATTATTCTGAGTGGAAATGCATCTGTAGGTATTCTGTGTATTTTTTCCCCACTTTATTGAGGTATAATTGGTAAATAAAAGTGTATGTACTTAAGGTGCATAATGTAATGATTAGCTATACATGTAGATTGTGAGTTTACCACATTCAATCTAATTAACACATCCTCACCTCATTTAGTTACCTTTTATGGTAAGAATGCTTAAGATTTACTATCTTAGCAAATTTCAATATAGCAATAACTATAGTCACCCTGCTGTACATTAGATCCCCAGGACTTAATTAATCTTCTAACTGGAGGTTTGTACACCTTTGACCAACATTTCCCCATTCTTCCCTCTACCCCCAACCCCTGGCAACCACCATTCTACTCTCTGGTTCTACATATTTGACTTTTTTAGATTACACATATTAAGTGAGATCATACAATATTTGTCTTTCTCGGTCTAGCCTATTTCCCTCAGCATAAGGCCCTCTGGTTTCATCCATGTTGTCACAAATGTCAAGATTTCTTTATTTTTTATGGCTGAATAATATTTCACTGTGTGTAGGTACATATATATCACACGTTCTTTACCCACTCATCCATTGATTAATACAGAAATTGTTTCTGTATCTTGACTATTGTGAATAATGCTATTGTGTGTTTTTAACACTGCTCCACATGACTGCCTCAGACTTCATAGCCCCTGCTAACCCAGGAGCAACAAGGCCAGAAGAAAACTAGGTATTTCAGGAGGGTTTTCTGTACTTACTTTCACTTTAAAAAGATTTTGGAGATCAGAACAACTAAAAGCATCAAGGAAATAAATAAGCACTGTATGGTCTGGTTTTCCAGTATGTAATCCTTGAGGGATGCTTAGGAGTTGTTTGATGCTTGTTTGGAAAAATAAAGAAATAAAATATTATTTTGGCACCATAATTTTCTCCTCTTCCTTCCTTTTTCCTCTTCTTTCTCCTCCTCTTCATTGTTCTTATTATTGGTTTAGTTTAGGTACAGTTATCCCATCCTTTTAGATTTATTAAGCAGAACCCTGACTGTAAAGGGCCTTAGGTGAAAACCTCCCCAGTGTTGTAAGCATCTTTGCTATTCGAGCACAATTGTGTCAAAAGTCTTTTTGGAACCCTGGGGCAAGTCATTTAATCTTTCTGAGTATCTGTTTCCTTATCTATAAAATGGGGATAATAATATCTAGCTCATATATTTATGCTGATAAATGGAATGAATTTAATATAAGAAATATTCATTGTAAACTGTAAAGTTCTCTTTAATATTAGGATATAAATTATTACAGTAATAATAATAATAATTTAATTGGAAAAACATCCTCCTATTGGGGACTGGAGCTTTTCATGTGACATAGCCTATTGTAAGTGATATGTATAGTTAGACCACAATTTATGTAACTTATTTTATAAACTGGGCAATTAATTTGTTTCACACCCCTTGGGCCCATAACGAACACCACAGTCAGCGTGCTTACACATAAATGAGCTGCATTTGTGCACATCCCTTGGGAGTTTGGCTCCAGAAGGCCAGCCACCGTCTTGCAGGGCAGGACTGTCATTGCTCTGGGTTTCTGTCTTGTCAGTGCCCCTGCTCTGCTCTTTGGAGAATTCTTTTTCCCTTGCTTTTTCATTGGAGTCCAGAAGGACTTCCAGAAAGACCTGGGCATGAGTGGGTTGCAAGAGGATGCCCTTGTGGTTCTGTGTGGGCTGGTAAACTGGACTATTAATGTCCTTTGCTCTGGGGCACTGTGGTGCAGGGAAAGAGTAGGCTCTGCCCGTGGATGGGTGGGCAAAGTGAGAACAAGGAGAGGGAGTGCCAGCAGGTCTCTGGGCGCATGGTGCTGCCCAGAGGCCCTGTTGGGTCCCCAGGGCTCTCTCTGCTGGGCCTTAGAAGATTACCGTTGAATTCCCCACTCAACCTCTGCCAGAAAGAACAGGCTCTCTGCACTCCGCCTCCCCCGCCAAGTTGGATCCAAAGTGAAGAGTGAGGGCCGCAGCCCTCCAGGCTGTTAGCAGCTCTGCCTTTGAGGGAATGGCCTGTGAAATGTTAGAGAAGACCTGAATCCCTCCTCCCCGGGCGGATATCACCTTCGTCCTTTGGATTTTATAAAGAACCTGATCCTCTTTGCCTGAATGGAGCCAAATAAACGAGAGTCTCAGAGGAGGTTGATGGCTCAGCCGTAGAAGTCCCACAGCGACGTCTGGTTTTGATGTATTGCTGATGGATACGATCATGCTCAGAGAACGAGATCACTTCTGCCAGTTTGAGAGAAAGGTCATGTTTTTAATTTAACTTAATTTCCTACACCAAAGAGAATTTTCAATAGGATATTCGACTTTTGCACCTTTAATGAGACCAGATGCTCTGGGGCCTGCAGCAATGAAGAGAAAACAGATTTTCTAGTTTACACTTCCACTTGGTGCATTTCTAAATTGGGCATGTGTGGTTCCTATAAGGATGCCATTCCTGTCGGCGTTTCTTCTTTCTCATTGTTTCCCCTTTCTCCCTTTCTTCATTTCTGTCTTCCTTTTTCTCTTCCCATCCCTCCTCCCTCTCCTGCTACCACCCACCCACCTTCCCTCCCTCCTTTCCTTCCTTCAGGGCTTCCTTCCTTCCCCTCTTCTTCCTGTTCCCTCTCCTCCTTCTTAGGGTTATCTTTGAGTGTAAAACATGGGCTAAACAATGTGCTGAGATGTTTGCAAACATATACTTAATTTCCCTTTTACAGATGAAGAAACCAAGATTCAGTAAGATTAAGTAAGGAATATACTATATATTGTGTCCGACTGATAAGTTGAGTAACACACTTGGATACCAAAACTAGGTCATCTGGGTTCAGCTCAGGGTTGACCATCTACTTGTGGAGTGACTTGGGAAAATTAGTTAACTTTTTGACTACTGGTCTACGTTGATTGTTTTAAAGTTGCAAGTTTAATTGTATTTTTAGTGATGACAATTGTACATACCAAAGAGCATATATATAGTTTATAGGCTAATAAACAAATGCTTGGATACCTTTCAGCCAGATTAGGCAAAGGAAAGTGGCTCATACTTTTGAGACCTTCCATGTACTCCTCTCTAGGACCATCCCAACGTCACTAAACCCTCAGAGCTAACCATTGTTTTGGAGTTTTATTTTATGTTATTTTCCTTGTATTTCTGTATACATTTTACATACACACATACAATTCCTAAGGAATATATTAATTAGTGTTGCTTGTTTTAGTACTTTATTAAACTGAGGGATACTACACTGTATTTTTCTTTGTCTTTTTACACTTTTAACTGTATTTATGAGATTTAACCACACAGTTACAGCTCTATTATTTTCAGTGCTAAATGGAATGCTATTATATTACTTTGTCTCTATTGATTTAGTCATTCTCTTCTCAATGGACATTGGGTTGTTGCAGCTTTTTGATGTTACAAAAACTTCTGTTTTGCACATTATTAGACTTTTCACCTGGGACACATCTGCTGAAGTTCCTCTAGCACATATACCTGAGAATGGGATGCCCATAATTGTATATGTTCAACTTCACGCCCAACTGATTCCTAATTGTGTTGTAACCTGTTTACTCTCTGACTGGTAGGGAGTTTCCATTTCTCCACATCCTCACCAACACTTGGTATTGTCAGATTTTAAATCCTTTGCCAATAAGGTGAGTGCAAAATACATCTTGTTTCAACTAGCAACTTTCATTTGTAATGAAACTGATCAACTTTATATATGCTTATAGTTACTTAAATTTTCTCTTATGTAAAGTATCTGTTTATGCTTTTTCTTTCCTTCCCTTTTTTTCTCTGTCCATTTCTTTCTTACAGTTTCATCTTCTGCGTTTATTAAATAGGGGACTATTCTGGAAGCTCCCTAATGGCCTTTACAAATCTAGGCTCTGTGATTCAAAGACTGTTACTGCGATGCTGCTAACTCTCTGCTTTCACACATTGCATTCCTTTCTTTAAAACATGCTTCTGTGTCTTGGAGATTGATGCCAGCTCATGACCCCGACTCTTAGATCAAGGACAATATAGAAAAAGTCTCCCATAAAATAGCCTGAGAGAATTTTCTGACCTTCATTGATAATTTGTAAATTCTTATTGACAATTAAAAAATAAGATCTCTTTTTACCTCATTTGAATTCCCTCAAATATTTATAAGTTGGGCATATATTGTGACTGGCCAAAATCTATTTTTCTGCCAAAGACATACTAGAGGGGCTTCTCTCTTCTTTTTCTGCTGTTCTACCCTAGTAGTAGAATCAGGAAAAATATTTAAAGTCTAGGAGATAGCTTCTTCCTGTTTCTATAAAGTTAAGTACAGACTAATCATAGTTTATTTTAGGATAATTTAGTATATGCCTCATTATTGATCTATTTCTAATTCATGTTTTCCTTCAGGTTTCAAAATATAACCAAAAAATGTTTTCAAAAGTAACAAATCAAAACAAAATTCTCCCAAACCAATGAACCAACTAATCAGTGAAAACTCAAACCTAAACCACTGTAAAAGAACCCTCAAAAGCATGATCAAATCTGATATTACCCTCTGATTTAGATCAGGACCAGGAACTATGCAGGAGCAACTAAAGGTTCTTGCACAGTTGCCGATGTCTGCTCCTGCCTCGCCTTAATCTTACCAGATCAGGGATCTCTGAACCAAAATAGGAAAACAGCATGTCATCAAGGTGGCACAGTAGAGGTTGCCCACTCATACATCATAGCGGCAATAATTTGGCAGCTATCGGTGGACAAAAGTGACTTTGTGGGAGCTTTGGGATTCAAGTAGGGTTGTGAAACCCCAGGGGAGCCCCAGATTGAGGAGGGCTGTTCAGAGAGGGCAGTCATACAACTATGTTGCAGGTTTGCTGACTGTGGTCCTAGTTATAGACTCAGAAACAGCTCCATCTCTCTGTGGATGTGGCTACAGCCTCATTTGGCCTTTTTTTTTTTTCTATACATGTTGTCCTGCCAAGGCCATCTGCCAGCACCAACCTGGGAGGATTCACACCCACTTGTGCCTTGGGTAGCAGGCCAACTGACCTAAGTCCCGACTGTGGACTGCCGACCTGGCTTCAGCCCCTCTTAGCTACGGTCTGGGATCGGTCCTGCTTACCCGAGGACCCAGCAGAACTGACACTCCTCTGTGTCCCTAGAGGCATTGGTTTGACTGTGGATCCTGATGCAGCCCTGTGACCTGGCTCCAGCCTTGCTTGGTATAATCCATGGGAAGTCCTGCCTACTCAGAACCTGATAGAAAGCATGCCTGTCCATAACCCTGAGGCAGGTCTGCAGACCTTGGGCACAGTTCTGTGACCTGGTTTGAGCCTCATCCAATTGCGGTCTGGGGCCAGTCTTGTTCACCCAGTGACCTGCCTGGTGATGCAGCACGAACATTCCCAGGGACATGGTGGGATTCAGAGCTTTCTGCACACTTGGAGACAGGCCCACTCTCTGCAAACACAACTGCAGACCCGAAGTGGACCACCCTTGTCCCAGCACCAGCCCTACTACCAACGTCCTGGAGGCAGTCTGGTCCTCTTGGGAAACAGGCAGGATTTACAACCACCTAAGCTCTTGGTAGCAGGACCCCACTATGGACCCAGCTTCAAGTCCACTCAACTGCAATACCAGAGACAATTCCATCATCCAGGGATCTGAAAGATCTTTTCCTGGCAAAGCCAGTGTGTAGAGACTGAAAGAGGTGTTTACTCCTTCAAATGCTCAAGAAAAGAGATACCAATACAAGGCTACATAGATAATGAAAAATCAGGTAAACATGACACCATCAAAGGAAATTAATAAAGCTCCAGTAGCCAACCACAAAGAAATGGAAATTTATAAATTGCCTGACAAGGAATTCACAATAATCATCTTAAAGAAGCTCAGCAAGAGGCAAAAGGACATAGACAACTAAATAAAATCAAGAAAGCATTATATGAACAAAATGACAAGTTTATTAAAGAAATAGAAACCATAAAGAATGAACCAAACAAATCCTGAACCTGAACAATACAATGATTGAAGTGAAAAACTCCATTGAGAGTTTCAATAATGAGAGGCTTGATCATGCAGAAGAAAGAGTTAGCTAACTTGGAGACAAGTCATTTGAAATCAGCATGGTGACTATAGTTAATAATACTCCTTTGCATATTTGAAATTTGCTAAGAGAGTAGAACTTAAGTGTTCTCACCACAAGCCAAACATGGTAACTATGCGAAATGATGGATGTGTTCATTAGCTTATTTGTGGTAATCATTTCTCAATGTGTACATGTATCAAATATCACATTGTACATCTCAAATATATGCAATTTTTATCTGTCAATTATACCTCAGTAAAGCTGGAAAAAAAACCCGAAGAGAAATATGTATTATAATGGAATATCAGAAGATTCAAGATTTGGCCACTCATTAAGTGTCCAGCAACGCTCTCATGTTTTCAGAAACTCAACTCTATAAAGTTGCCAAGGGGCTTTGGTTAGAACCTCTGCCTCATAGTTAGTGGGTGATGCCTGATTGGCGGGGGGCCCGTGGTTGTAGAAGTCTCTTGAAAGCACATGGCCTTTGTGAAGTTTCCCTCCTGCATCAGAGAGGTCCGTGGTGTGGCCTGTCTCATCTCTACCTCCTGCAGGCCTCAGCACAGAGCCCAAGATCAGATCAGAAAATTGGGCCCTATCATCAGAAGGCTGGATTATTGAACCCTCTCTCCTAAGGAGGCATGTACATATACTGAAAATGGCAGTTCTTGGCTTTCACAGGGAGATTATAAGAGATAGGTCAAGTGACGTTGGAACTGGTAGCCTCTGTTTTATTTCCATAGGGCTGACCAGGATGGAACTTGGGTGGGCAATGTGTATGCGTAAGCTGGTTGAAGACAGTGAACTAGAATGTTTGAAGAGCACACATAGGTTTCTTTAACTTCATGGTTTAAAATCCCTGGGAGTTCTGTTGAATCCTGTCAAAGTGGGGAATAGAAGGGTTTGGAGGCCCAGTGTACTACTCAGTCAAAGCAGCTTACTTACCTGTCCCCTATGCATTTTGCATTTGATTCCATGTAAAAATATGTATATGAACAAAATGACAAATTTATTAAATAAATTATAAAGAATATATATATCTCTCTATATATAAAGAGATTTATTATAAGGAATTGGCTCAAGTGATTATGGAGCCTGAGAAGTCCCAAGATCTAAAGTTGGCAGGCTAGAGACCCATGCGAGCTGTGGCCTAAGCTCCAATCCAAGTCTGTGTCTGAAAGCAGCAGGAGACACTAGTGTCCCAATTCAAAGACAGGCAGAGAGAGACAATTATCGCCTCCCTCTGCCTTTTTGTTCTATTCAGGCTTTTGTTGGACTGGATGAAACCCACGTACACTGGGGAGGGAAGTCTGCTTTAGTCTCTACCAGTTCAACTGTTGTCTCATCCAGAAATGCCCTCACAGACATACTTAGAATAATGCTTAACCAAATATCTGGATATCGTGTGGCCCAGTCAAGTTGACACGTAAAGTTAATCATCACAAAAGGGCTCTAACATTTAAAAGCAGGAAAAAGTGAAAATCTTTGGTTTACAGGGTAGTAAGGTGATAGTGACAGTCATGTGGATGTAAAATTGTCACATTAAGGGCAACAATGTCTTGTTGGCCTTTTCCAACCATGCACAGTTGTAGTATATCCTCTGATTGTTTAGAGGTCTCTGTATGACATCATATATTAACAATGTCTAAGTGTTTTAAGAAAATATTCTCATGCATAATCTCTCTGATTTTCTGACTTTATCAGTTCTTCTCTTTGCCAGCTCTTACTACGGCTCCTGTTAATCCTGACCCACTCCCACTGATGAGTGGTATGACCCTTTACTACATGCACTGGCCAGTCCATCCTTCTTGCCTGTTTCCCTTGGTGCCTGGAAAAATCAAGTTGGATTATTTTGGGTAATTTTTTTTGCTTAGGATCAATTTTTGTTTTTCCCTGTAACCTAGATCACTGCTTCTGAAGGTAGAGCAGGTATCAGCTGAAGAGCTTTTCAATACACAGATTCCAGGGCCCTACTTCCAGAGAGTAGACCTGAGGTGGAGGGTCAGAGAATTTACATTTCTAACAAGAATCTTGGAAATACTATTATTGTTCTTGTTTGAGGATCTTAATTAGAGTAGTGCTGTTTCTAGGTGGTACTTCAAATCTGTTTATATTTAGTATAATATATGGTAGATTTTTCACTGTCATCTTGTGGTTTCAAAATAAATAATATTTTATACTATTTGAATGATTTTTAACCACCTGAGGCAGGTCTGCAGACCTTGGGCACAGTTCTGTGACCTGGTTTGAGCCTCATCCAATTGCGGTCTGGGGCCAGTCTTGTTCACCCAGTGACCTGCCTGGTGATGCAGCACGAACATTCCCAGGGACATGGTGGGATTCAGAGCTTTCTGCACACTTGGAGACAGGCCCACTCTCTGCAAACACAACTGCAGACCCGAAGTGGACCACCCTTGTCCCAGCACCAGCCCTACTACCAACGTCCTGGAGGCAGTCTGGTCCTCTTGGGAAACAGGCAGGATTTACAACCACCTAAGCTCTTGGTAGCAGGACCCCACTATGGACCCAGCTTCAAGTCCACTCAACTGCAATACCAGAGACAATTCCATCATCCAGGGATCTGAAAGATCTTTTCCTGGCAAAGCCAGTGTGTAGAGACTGAAAGAGGTGTTTACTCCTTCAAATGCTCAAGAAAAGAGATACCAATACAAGGCTACATAGATAATGAAAAATCAGGTAAACATGACACCATCAAAGGAAATTAATAAAGCTCCAGTAGCCAACCACAAAGAAATGGAAATTTATAAATTGCCTGACAAGGAATTCACAATAATCATCTTAAAGAAGCTCAGCAAGAGGCAAAAGGACATAGACAACTAAATAAAATCAAGAAAGCATTATATGAACAAAATGACAAGTTTATTAAAGAAATAGAAACCATAAAGAATGAACCAAACAAATCCTGAACCTGAACAATACAATGATTGAAGTGAAAAACTCCATTGAGAGTTTCAATAATGAGAGGCTTGATCATGCAGAAGAAAGAGTTAGCTAACTTGGAGACAAGTCATTTGAAATCAGCATGGTGACTATAGTTAATAATACTCCTTTGCATATTTGAAATTTGCTAAGAGAGTAGAACTTAAGTGTTCTCACCACAAGCCAAACATGGTAACTATGCGAAATGATGGATGTGTTCATTAGCTTATTTGTGGTAATCATTTCTCAATGTGTACATGTATCAAATATCACATTGTACATCTCAAATATATGCAATTTTTATCTGTCAATTATACCTCAGTAAAGCTGGAAAAAAAACCCGAAGAGAAATATGTATTATAATGGAATATCAGAAGATTCAAGATTTGGCCACTCATTAAGTGTCCAGCAACGCTCTCATGTTTTCAGAAACTCAACTCTATAAAATTGCCAAGGGGCTTTGGTTAGAACCTCTGCCTCATAGTTAGTGGGTGATGCCTGATTGGCGGGGGGCCCGTGGTTGTAGAAGTCTCTTGAAAGCACATGGCCTTTGTGAAGTTTCCCTCCTGCATCAGAGAGGTCCGTGGTGTGGCCTGTCTCATCTCTACCTCCTGCAGGCCTCAGCACAGAGCCCAAGATCAGATCAGAAAATTGGGCCCTATCATCAGAAGGCTGGATTATTGAACCCTCTCTCCTAAGGAGGCATGTACATATACTGAAAATGGCAGTTCTTGGCTTTCACAGGGAGATAATAAGAGATAGGTCAAGTGACATTGGAACTGGTAGCCTCTGTTTTATTTCCATAGGGCTGACCAGGATGGAACTTGGGTGGGCAATGTGTATGTGTAAGCTGGTTGAAGACAGTGAACTAGAATGTTTGAAGAGCACACATAGGTTTCTTTAACTTCATGGTTTAAAATCCCTGGGAGTTCTGTTGAATCCTGTCAAAGTGGGGAATAGAAGGGTTTGGAGGCCCAGTGTACTACTCAGTCAAAGCAGCTTACTTACCTGTCCCCTATGCATTTTGCATTTGATTCCATGTAAAAATATGTATATGAACAAAATGACAAATTTATTAAATAAATTATAAAGAATATATATATCTCTCTATATATAAAGAGATTTATTATAAGGAATTGGCTCAAGTGATTATGGAGCCTGAGAAGTCCCAAGATCTAAAGTCGGCAGGCTAGAGACCCATGCGAGCTGTGGCCTAAGCTCCAATCCAAGTCTGTGTCTGAAAGCAGCAGGAGACACCAGTGTCCCAGTTCAAAGACAGGCAGAGAGAGACAATTATCGCCTCCCTCTGCCTTTTTGTTCTATTCAGGCTTTTGTTGGACTGGATGAGACCCACGTACACTGGGGAGGGAAGTCTGCTTTAGTCTCTACCAATTCAACTGTTGTCTCACCCAGAAATGCCCTCACAGACATACTTAGAATAATGCTTAACCAAATATCTGGATATCGTGTGGCCCAGTCAAGTTGACACGTAAAGTTAATCATCACAAAAGGGCTCTAACATTTAAAAGCAGGAAAAAGTGAAAATCCTTGGTTTACAGGGTAATAAGGTGATAGTGACAGTCATGTGGATGTAAAATTGTCACATTAAGGGCAACAATGTCTTGTTGGCCTTTTCCAACCATGCACAGTTGTAGTATATCCTCTGATTGTTTAGAGGTCTCTGTATGACATCATATATTAACAATGTCTAACTGTTTTAAGAAAATATTCTCATGCATAATCTCTCTGATTTTCTGACTTTATCAGTTCTTCTCTTTGCCAGCTCTTACTATGGCTCCTGTTAATTCTGACCCACTCCCACTGATGAGTGGTATGACCCTTTACTACATGCACTGGCCAGTCCATCCTTCTTGCCTGTTTCCCCTGGTGCCTGGAAAAATCAAGTTGGATTATTTTGGGTAATTTTTTTTGCTTAGGATCAATTTTTGTTTTTCCCTGTAACCTAGATCACTGCTTCTGAAGGTAGAGCAGGTATCAGCTGAAGAGCTTTTCAATACACAGATTCCAGGGCCCTACTTCCAGAGAGTAGACCTGAGGTGGAGGGTCAGAGAATTTACATTTCTAACAAGAATCTTGGAAATGCTATTATTGTTCTTGTTTGAGGATCTTAATTAGAGTAGTGCTGTTTCTAGGTGGTACTTCAAATCTGTTTATATTTAGTATAATATATGGTAGATTTTTCACTGTCATCTTGTGGTTTCAAAATAAATAATATTTTATACTATTTGAATGATTTTTAACCATTAGTTATTTCTCACTAAGTTGTTGGTTCTTTGAGGACCAACACTTTATTCAGACTTTGCTGCATTATGAAGTCAGTTCACACCATGCTCAGCAAATATATGTTGATTGACGAGTAAAGGAAGGAAGAAATGCTCAGTTGATGGAATTCCAGAGCATTCAGGGTTCCAGGCTCACCCCTCACAGCCTGATGCCATATTGCATCCAAACCCTGGAAACTGTGATCTCTTTCACTTCCTGCTGCAACTCACTGGCAGCCTTGAGACCACCCTGTCTGAGGCTGGGAAGTGAGAAATTCTGAAAGCGATCGAACACTGTAAATTTTCACAGTGGTTCAGTTGAAAGCTGTTGGGCACAGATGTTTCTGTAATCGTGATATGCTGGGAACATTCTCTGGGCTCCAAGCACACAGGGCCTCAGCTTCATTCTTCCACCTGGGTGCCTCAGTGGGCCAGTCTCACTGTATCCAGGCTGTAATGGGAACCAGGTGGTAGCATGTGTCTGTCTTGAAAGAGCTGAGCAAGAATCATGTCTCAGTCCCAGTCAGTCCTTCCCTCTTCCCACTTTCTTCCTTGGGGAGCTACTTTAGTGATGGCGAACTCCTCTGCTCACTCCAAAGTGGAGGCGATGCTCTGCCTTTTGTCCAAAATGGGAATTCAGTCTCATGTTTGCTGTTGGGTGGAGCTGTGGAAGACTTCCAAATGTTCTTTGATAGGCTGTAAGAAAAGAATCAGGAAAAGTTGCAGTGGTGTGAAAGGATATGACTGTTCCAAGTGACCT